CCACGTCTCACGCCAGGCGCCTCACTTCACGCTGTCTTCCGGACGGTCTCCCCTTGCGCTTCCTGACAGAGCTGAGCATTTAAAGTTAAAGTTTAATTTCAAGTTCAAGTTAAGCTCAGCAATGATGCATACGAGTTGTTGACCCTTGGTAGCTGGCGGGCAGCCCAGGCAACTCTCTCCCTGTCTCTCCACTCCCCGCTGCTTGCAGGGCGTGGTGTTCCCCGCCATGAGCGCCATCGTGGTGCGCTGGGTGCCCGTGTCCGAGCGCGCGCGCTTCGTCTCGTTCGCGTTCCAAGGTGAGCTCCCGGCCGGCGGCCCGCCCCCGCCCGCCCCTGTCCGCCCGCCCTCTCACGCCGCGCTGTCCGCAGGAGCCTCGCTGGGCACCGTGGTGGCGCTGCCGCTGTGCGGCTGGGTGCTGCAGTCGTGGGGCTGGGAGGCCGTGTTCCACGTGTCCGGCGTCCTGTCCCTGGTCTGGACCGCGGCCTGGTGGCTGCTCGTGTTCGACTCGCCCGACCAGCACCCCCGCATCACCGCCAAGGAGCGCGAGTTCCTCTCCGAGCACCTGGAGCCCGTCAAGGCGGAGGTGAGTCGCGCCCCTGGCCGCGGCCCCGGCCGTGTTCCCGGGCCGCACTAACGGCGCCGTCCTCTGCCCGCAGCCGCCGCCGGTGCCCTGGCTGGCCGCGCTGCGCTCGCGACAGTTCTGGCTGGGTAACCTGGCCGGCATCGGCAACGACTGGGGCTTCCACACCTTCTTCAACCTCGGGCCCAAGTACATGAAGACGGCCCTGGGCTTCGACCTCAAGTCGGTATGTATCCAAGGGTGGACTACCAACAAACTTTGGTCGCGGGGTGCGATGGGTGTGGCCCAACGGTGTTGCATTTGAAAGGTAATTTGCTGGCCTTTCAAATAATGCACTTTCACTGGGCCCAATCCTTGATGGGGAACCCCCGCACCACGCGACCAACGGCCACCCCATCGCGTCGCGCCCGAGCCCGCCCCTGAGCCCGCTCCTGAGCGCGCCCGTCCTGTTGGTCCGCAGAGCAGCTGGCTGTCCTCGCTGCCCTTCCTGTCGCAGTACGTGTTCGCCATGGTGTACGGCTCGCTCGCTGACCTGCTGCTGCAGCGCGGTGTGCGCCTCGTCACAGTCCGGAAGGTCTCCGTCGTGGTTTGTGAGTGTCCCACTGACAATAATAATGCGTGATGACGATCGGTTCGACGTCCAATTCCAATAGAACCCGACGTCGAATCAACTGTTGATGTTTTCGAAAGACCCCTATTAAACCTGTGCACAGCGCACCTGCTCCCGGTGGTCGGGCTGCTGGTGCTGGCCTACTCCGGCTGCAACGCCGTCCTCTCCGTCGTGGTGCTCACCCTGTCCGTCACCATGATCGGCGCCGTCACGTCCGGCTTCTTCCAGACGCCCATGGACATCGCGCCCAACTTCGCCGGTGCGTACCCTTGCTGCCCTGCGCGCCCGCAGCCCGCAGCCCGCAGCTCGCCTTGCCCGCCTCACCCTCCCCTCTGCCGCAGGTGTCCTGACGGGGGTCATGAACGGCCTGGGCTCCATCACCCCCGTGCTCTCCACCCCGCTGGCCGGCGCCGTGCTGCAGAGCTTCCAGGAGGTGCGCGTCCTGACCCTGGCTCAAGGCCCAACGAGGAAAACGTTTGGTCACCATACGACCAAATAATTTGGTTGTTGTAACTGGAATGGTGTTTTGTCTGCCCCCTTAGTTACAGCCGTAGGGCGAACTCATCCGGTGTTTGGGTGGAGCGTCTAAACGCTCAGCCATCTCGTTAACGCGTCTTATGGTTGTAACTCAGGGGGCAGACTGAACACCATTTCAGTTACAACAACCAAATTATTTGGTCGTATGGTGACCAAACATCATCAATAATGTAGTTACAACAACCAAAGTATTTTTTTCCGTGCCAGTTTCTTCTCTCGAAACGTAAGGTCGAGCATAGTAGCTCCGGCCTGTGCCGGGGCGAGGTGACCAGAGTCGAAGGACCGCTCAGCGCGCGTCTTAGCGAAATTCCCTTGGATGCCTCGCCTCGGTCGAGATACTTCATGTTACGTTGTCCCCAGCGATCTTGTCAGTTTTAGAGCGATCGGGAGGGGTGTTAGGGAGCTCCCCGGAAAGCGCCTTCGGAGGCAGTCAAAACAGGGGGGGAAGGGGCTAGCGTGAAAAAAACCGAGAACGTTTTCTGGGAGCTCTGTAACA